AAATAAATTCTCAAAATTGAAAACCACCACTTTCGTTTTTCATATCAGACATCAAAGAACAAATTTGGTTTCGTGGCTCTCACTAATTATTGTTAAATCCATATGCCAGGAATATTACTCACTACCATTCATTTCTATAAAAACTTCAGTGTTGATATATGTAGCCATATAAATTTTTTAAAATTACATTTATTACTTTCGATTAGGCTATTATCTTTCACTTTCACCTTGTCTATTTTGCGAACTTTAAAATATTTTATATAAAATTAGAGATAACTTTTTGTTCGTATTAAACCGTCTTTATAAGATAAATTAATAAAATGTAAAGAATTGTAAACAATATTGATAAATCTTTCTAATGTTAATAATATAGAAAAAAAGTGTGTTTCTTTTGATTTGAGTTCAGACCTATCAGAACGTTGTTAGACCAAGATAGAAAAAATGGGCACTGCATAGAATCTGTTGGCAAATCTATTTGAAGAGTATAAACACCAACTTCTGTTAATTCATTTTGGAAACATTATCAGAAATTGATATGGTATATAATTGAACGATCAATCTTGATTTATTTATCAACAGCTTACCTTTCCTTACTTCAGTATGGGTATATCGGATCTGTTAGTTGGATAAATCCATCTATGGAAGGATATATATGTATATATGTATATATATATATATATATATATATATATTATAATAATATATATTTATATATATATATATATATATATATATATATATATATATATATATATATATATATATATATATATATAGGTAGGTAGGTATAGAAGATCCATCATCGACTTAATATTAAAATTTCGTTGACGCCTTCCGCTTTGGAGTACGTTTTTTGATAATAAGACTATTCTACTGACGGAAGAACCAATATTCAAATGTAAATAATGCCATAAAAAACAGAAAGAACTAAACAAATATTTTAATGTTATATAATTCATTACGTATTTTAATTTCATATTTATTTGTATTTTTTATGGAATAAATATAATCTAGTCAGATGTATTAAATAATAGTTACAAAATAAAGTCCTTCTGTTCTTAAATTATTTGTACTTGATAGTAAATAGCAACATTTTGCTAATTAATGAATAAATTATTTTCATTAATTAAAATGTTTAGTTTATTCAATAATTATTGTATTGCCTAACAATCTTTCAAATAATAAATCTCGAAAAGGAGTACCTAGTACTGTAAACAAATATTTAACAACAAAAATCGATTAACAAATATTTATATACTTTTTTTTTACAGTAGTAGGTTTACATAATTATATATATATATATATATATATATATATATATATATATATATATATATATATATATATATATATATGTATTATTCTGGATGAAGGAAATAGTTTCTTAGTTCACATTCTTTTGAGCTTTCTTTATTTTATTTTGTTTCTCTTCGATCATTTTATTTGTAAGTAAGCACTCTTCGGAAGTCGATAAAACATGCTTCACTCCCTAGAAAGTTAATTTTTCACTTCTTCAAAAACTATGGAAGCGAAAGTAGAATTATAATTTTTTTTTAAACTACACTTGCTGTGATCTATTTCATTTTTCTTTAGTAATATTCCGGGTTGATTGTTCTTCCATATTAAAACTTTACAGAGATATTTTTTTCTCTAAAAATTTATTTTCTCGTCAAAATATTGAGGTCTAGTTAAATGGCTATGATTGTAAAGTTGATAATTAAGTAATTTACTGAATTAAGTAAATTTATCAAGTAAAGGAATGTATTACGTGGCATTGCTTTTTGATTGAATCGGCAACGATAAGGTTCGTTTACTTTGTTTTTTTTATTACTTTTTATAATAATGATATCTCTCCCAAAATACCTAGTTCTGCCATAAATACTGTTACAAAAGTTGAACTTGGTTTACATCCTTGGGCTTTATTTAGATATTGCTTACCTCTATCGAGTTATTTTCTTTATATGTCAGGATAATAATCCCAATTAGTTTGTATTTTTCTTTTGCTCAGTTGAGATGGAGTGGGATGATAAAGAAAAACGAATAGCTTTGATCGCCTTCCATTCGAAAATGTAGATCAGATATGTTCAACTCTTGGAAATGTTTGGGTATCAGCCGTATGTTCGTAAAGCACATTATAAATAGATATAATGAGACCCTATCTGTATGTACCATACCTCGACATGGCCGTCCTCGCACTGTGAGAGCGGCAAATGTAGTGGCTGCTCGAATCAGAAGAAATTCTATTCGAAAATAACCAATCATGTCTCGGGATATGGGAATCTCTGTCAGATCAATGTCTTGAATAATAAAAATTGACCTTAGGATGGATGCATTTGGAAGAATGACAGGGCAAAAGGTAACCACTTCCCTTAAAAAAAAATTAGAGTAGATAGATGCAAAGTGCTTCTTGCCCGTTACACCAATGGTCTTCAACGAAAGATTTATTTTAGCGATGAGAAAAGTTTTACAATTGAAGAAAAATTTAATCGTCAAAATGATCGTATGTACGCACACAGCTATAAAGAATCCCAGGAAGTTATTGGAAGAGTGGAAAGAGGTAATCACCCTTCCTCAGTGATGGGAATATGCTTTGACGGCACCACAGAACTCCATTTTAGTGAAAAAGGAGTTAAAACAGCCGTTAAAAAGTATCAGGACAATATTTTGGAACCTGTTATCAAGCCCATAACTAATACTCTGTTTCCTGGAAGTCATTGGGGTTTCCAGCAAGATTCTGCCCCAGCTCACAAGGCCAGGTCAACTCAGCAGTGGCTGCAAAAGAACATTCCAGAGTTCATCTCTGCCTTCGATTGGCCCTCAGGGAGCCCGAATCTCAATCCACTTGATTATCGGCTTTGGTCTGAACTGGAGAGGATGGCATGCCACAGAGCACACCTTAACTTGGAAAGCCTCAAACGATCTCTGGTCCGAGCAGTTGAGTGATTTCAAGACGTGCTGCTCTTGATGATTGACCAAGGATATTAAATGAATGTGTCAAGGCAAAAGGGGAAATTTTGAGTAATTTCTTTTTTTTTTTTTTTTACTCTCTAGAGATATACATTTTATTTTCTGAGAATGTTTTTGAAAAAAATAATTAGTCTATTGAATTCTGTATATATTTCCTTGTAACAATATTTACGACAGGACTAGGTACATAAATATATTTTTTTTTTTTTTGAAATCTATTTATTGAATAATAATACAATCAGCCACTGCTGGAGGGCTATAAGCATTAGGGCTAAAAGTTCTCATTCATACAATATATACAAATAATAAAGAAATAAATATAAATATAAGAAGTAAATAAATAATACTGATGAAGAAGGTAAATAAATAAATAAAAAAAAAATAAAAAAAAAAATAAATAAATAAAATAAAATAAAATAAAAACTTCTAAACACAATCATAACTATAAACAATATATACATTTGCCCAAGAATCTCCGAGCCAGGCTTTTACCTCCACACGCGGAAGGCAAAGCAAGACTCCGGAAGATGTATAAATATTTTGATGAAATCATTTTATTCAGTACATAAGTATCCATAGAATCAAACTTATCAGATTCTTGCAGTCATAGGTTTTAATACAAAAGTGTAAAATAATGTATTCTATTGGAAACAGGAGGAGGAGGAAAACCTTTTGACTAAGTTTTTAGTACAATATTTTATTTATCTTTTTACTATATCCGTTCATAATTTACTGGTCGATAATTCAAAGCTAATCACAACAATGGATGTTCATCCCTCATTTATACAGCTGATATCCCAACCCATCCTAACACTGTTATCACCAGGTATGGATATGGCACTTTTCCTATCATGTAATAATGATCCTTTAATTGCATCCCGAATCCTTCAACACATATCACAAACCATGAAAAATAGTGTCAGGGCTGGAGAATAAAAATAAATTCCAATAAATCCCATCAAATCACCTTTCCCCTCTGTCTTCCTGTCCTACAATATCCTTAAATGATATTCCACCTGTCCCTGTTGAACAAATTCGTTACCTAGGGTTCCAATTGGACAAACGTCTTAGTTGGAATCCGCATACATGTCTGAAATGACAAGAAACATCTCGACGTTTTCGGCTCCTCCAACACTTATTATACAAACGCTCTAAACTTACATTTCAGAGGAAAAATAAGAAAAATCTATAAGAGAAGATAAGATCAATCCTGAGTTCTGCAATAGTCGTCATGTAGTCACACATGCAGCCTCTATGCAAAACCAAATATTAAGTCTTTAAGCCATAAAACCAAAAAAAAAAAAAAAAAACACCTTTACGTACAGCGTTTTTTTTTTTATTTATTATATTCTAGAGGTTTTAGTAGATTAGTGGATGATTGGTGTACATTGAAGAATTTTTACTGAAATAAACTTTTAATTTAAGAATTTTTACTGATAAAATGTAAGAATTAATATCGCCCAAGGTAGAGATAATCAGAGATGTGTTTTTGGTTAGGTGTTTGGTTTTGATGTTTGGGCGCGCATTATTGAGGTCATCACATCATGTTGTTTAAAATAGACATTTTTCTAAAAGACTTTTTATGGGTCACATCTGGCCACATTTTGTCACACATGTTATATGATCATTTGTTATATTGTCGAAAATAATAGAGCTTGTAACTAACTTGCTGCTAATTAAGCTATATAAGCACTGTTTTTGAAATTATCTGAGTACATGGAGGTGGAACTTAATCTATAGATTATTCACTGGAGATGTTTCGTATGCTCCTGTACATATCCTTTTGCCTAATATTTTTAGCACCCTTTTAGTCCATTTTACTTCACGCAATATAACGCAATCGATATATTTTGATGAGGGTGACTCTATCTGCTCCCCAGTTTGAATGGGCGATGGATTTTAAAATGATAAGTAATACATCTCTTTCATATATATGTGTGTTGCAGGGAAGTTGATTTTATAAATGAAAAAAAAAATGTATAAATTGTTTATTTTAACAGCCTTATCCATTTATATACATGTAGTGTTTATTGTTATTAGTGAAGTCCATATCTGATTGGGTGCCCGGATGCAATTCCGCCCAATGGAGTATTTTGGCGTGCTAAAGCACTTGCAAGAACTCTGTTTTCGTATCCAGCGGAGCCAGGGCCAGCCCCGTAGTATACAGATCCAGGAGGGGAGTGAGCGAGGCGTGCGGCAGCCGCAGCACCAACGAAATTTTCGGTAGCGAATACGCTAGCAGCGACGGAACCATGGAGGGTGTCGAGGTCCAAGGAACCATAACCTCCGTCGACACTCCTTTCGTTCCGAACCTCCAGTGTTGGGTAGGCGAGGGCTACTCCAGCGAGCAACAGGCAGGCCTGAAAAGTCATTAATACTTAATCAATGACTAACTAATAACTAATCATTGATTAGTAGGCATTTTTATGTCCCATGCATTTAATCGTAAACAATGTTAAGTATTATAAAAATTTTATATTGAAATGTTCTTATGTTATTAATATTATATATCTCTTGATTTTACTTACTAAGGCGGTCTTCATGTTGAGAGTTGTTGATCACTTACCTAGGTTAACTATTTCACTTCGTCTAGAGCTAACAGTATATATATAGTGGGCTTGGGCCTTGGGCAGGAGGAAGAATGTTGCACTCTGTTCTGCTGATTTCTTGTTCTGCTATGTTTGGTTCTAACCTCGTCTTATTATAATTACAAAAAAGAAAATAAGAAATAGTATGTTTTACATACTTCATGGTTACATATTCCATTCAGAATAGAGTTTAGTTACATAATGCGGTTTTTTGCGTGTTTCGCAAATAAATATGGCAAATGTTTTTATAAAATAAACTTGCCGTTTCTTTACTTACCGTATTATTCCTCTTTTATTTATTTATTTTTTTTAACGCGTAGTGTAGAGAAGGGAATCTTTGTATTAGTTCAGGATGTTAAAATAATTGTTCAAAATTTAAGATCTCCACTCCCTTTTTACGTATCAAACATCAAAGAACAAGTTTTTTTTTGGCTGACAAATCCATTTAGTGAGAATATTGCTCACCACCATATTTTCGAATTTCATAAGAATTTCGTTTTTGATATGTGTTTCCTTATAAATTCCATAATAATCTATCCAGTACCTTTTCTTACATTATATATTTTTTTAAAGCTGCCAATATTTTTAAAAGGGTTTGGTTGGATTTGGCTGAACGTTAATGAAAAGTTGGAGATTGGTGAAAAAGATATCTAGTATAAAAAAAAGTAATCGAATTCCGTACTGTACTTTCTTTTTTCTTATGTTCAAATGTGTTTTCATTGACACGCACAGATCTCAAAACCGCTCATTTGATATGACCCAGTTTAGAGGGACGTTATCGGTAAATAAATAATCAAGTTGTTATTAATATCATCATATTTCTTTCACCACTTTGAAAAAAAAATGCTTTCGGATCTGCAAAAGCTTTTTTCGAAAACGGCTCTATTTAATACAAAGTTGGAGAATATTTGTTGAATAGAGTACAAATTGTCAAGTACCAATCTCACCGAGTTCCTTTTGCAATCAAAACTAATGTTGAAGTTTAAAAAAAAAAATATGATCACTTTGAAACATTTTTGATCACTGACGTTGTATTTCTTCTAACCTTGTATTTCCAGCCTATTTGCTGATTATTAGCAAAAAGACGCGCAAATAAATCTCTCAAAAAAAAAATCAAAATTCGAGAACAATTATTTTCATCTTCAATAAGGAAGGTAGGAAAGAATTGTGTTCGTGCAATACATTAAATAAAATATTGTGGTCAGATTCGAAAATTTCCGCTCGTGTTTTACGTTTCAGACATCGAGGATCAAATTTGTTATGGTGTCTGTCTGTAATCGATGTGACGGGCATATCACATACTACCGTTCATTCAATTTTCATCAAATTTACAGAACGCTGCCTAGAGAGTTCTATATCAATTTTATCGAACACTTTCGCATGGACACGCGTCAATGATTTTTCATAGATAAGCCAATATTTCCGAAATGGCTCGTTTGATTTGGCTCAAAGTTGAAAGAAAGGTGGTATTTCGGTAAAATAATGGTTTTGTTCTGATTTTAAAGAATTCCGTCATCTACTTTCTTATACATATGCGCAAACGAGTTTTCCTTGATACGTCTATATTTTGGAAACCACTGATTCACTTTGCTTCAAATTTAGAGTGATGTTAGGGATTTGTTGACAGATAATTAAGTGACTATCAATTTTGTCAAATTATATTCACTGCTCTAAGAAATAGACTTCCGCTTTTGGAACAATTGTTTGATCGATTCCAAGCGCTACTGGCATCACTCTTACTACCTTCAGGTAGATTTCGTGTATTTTTTCGTAAATTTTAAATAACTTTTTGCTTCGTAAAAATAAGTCTTATATGTGATTTTGTTTGTTTCTATCGAAGTTAAACCTGCTAGTAGTGGTCTCGATTTCCAACTCAACCATTAAAGTATGCAACTGATATAGGTAGCCTGGTACTGTGGAAAAATAGCCGAGGAAAATAAAATATAAAATTGCACTAATAAATCATAATGAAATTATTAGTTTTTATGCTATCCTATAAAACATTAAGTTTTTAAATAGGACTTTTTGCTCTTACAGTAGGTATTTACATCTTCAGTATGTACTGGAATTTTTTATTTTATTTAACCACAACTCATCAAATACGCGATTTGCGAATGTAGAAATATAGATATTGTTCAGCCAGTGAAAACGGTGAGGAAGCTATACGGACTGGTCTTACTCGGCAGAAGTTTTTTTATTTCATAATCTTTAAAAGCTAAATTGCTATGATTTAAATAAATAAATAAAATAATATAGAAGAAATGTTTTTCTTCAATTGGGTTCAGACGTTTTCTAACCTAAGGAATGTTAGAACCTTGTTAGACCAAGATAAAAAAAAATTGTGCTCCATAAAATCTGTTGGCAAATCTACTTGACGGCATCTACTAACACCAACTTCTGCCAATTCATTTTGAAGATATTATAACAGATTGAACTGGTATATACCTAAATGATCAATATTAATTTATTTATGAACAGTTTACCTTGCCTTACTGCAATATGTGTATATAGGATATTAGTGTTAGATATAAAATTCCGTTTTTTTAAGACTATTCATTGAAAACAGCTTTTCTCTTAGATTTGATTGTCAAACGACAAGTTATAGGCCTTGAGCAATAGATAATTATAAAATGGAAAGTGTATGTAATACGCGAAGTGAGGAAGCTATACAAACCCTGCTTAGCAGACCTTTTTTTATTTCACACGAGTTGTTCCTAGAACATAACTACCAAAAATTTCACAACGTTAGAAATTATAATTTTCTATTTTCAGTCATTTTTCCCCTAAAATATAAATTAATTATTTTATTTTTATTTCTTTAAATTTTAGCATGTAAAGTATATTTTCCTTATTATTTTATAGAGCGAATTAAGTCCTGTTAGCTTATAATAAATAGTTTTATCAATCTTTGTTGTTGTTGTTTTTTTAAAATAATATATTTACAGAATTTATATATATATATATATATATATATACACGATATATATCGTGGTTTTGTTATATATTTATATATATAACAAAAACAAAAACAAATAAATGTATATAGTTCTGGATGGAGGAAATAGTTTTTTCGCTCACATTCGTTTTAACTTTCTTCATTATGGTTTTTTTCTCCTCAATCATTTTATGTATCAAGGAGTCTCTCTCTTCTCACCATCATTAATCATTGAAGAATCTTGAGTGAAATAAATTGTTAATTTAGATTTGGTGAAAAAAGAATGAATTAATATTGTCCGAGCTTTAGTTAATTAGATGTATATTTATGGTTGATTGGTTATTTTGATGTTTGGGTGCAAAACATTCAGATCATCAGCGCCCGATCAACTAAATAATTCTATATAAACATTTTAATTGGTAGGTTGATTGGTAAGCATGCAGTTACCTATTGGCTTATTAATATATAGATATTACAATCATTTTTTAGATAGGAGAAACCTAACTAAGCCCGAATGAAAAATCAGAAGAGTTAAATGCAAAAGTATATTAGTTATACCAATTCTTCACATATAGTAACTAAAATTGTCAAGTATTAGTAACTATTGGCAACAAGGACAAATTTAATTAAAGAGCTGTAATAATAATAATTTCTATTTATTTTATTCTTTTATTTGTTTTAATTTAAATATATGTATATATTTTTTATTTCTTTTTCTTTCCATTAAAACTACTAGCTAAATATTTTTTTTTTTTTTTTTTTTTTGTTCTTCCCTACCTCGCCTTTTAGGCTATACGGGATTTTCCCGGGCTGGAGGGTGAGGGCAGGGAATTTAAAATCCCCTCCGGCACCGGGACGCGAACTCGTACTTTTTATATCATCTCAAATCTCTGTTATCCGGTTGCCAGGCAGCTAGCGGTGCTGTGCACACGCTTTAGCCTATTCGGCTACCCCGCCCCCTAAAACTAGCTAAATATTATAATAATAATATTTTATGCATAAGGTGCTGATGGCCTAAATGTTTTGCGCCTATAACAAAACAAACAACCAACAACTATTTTCCCTTAATTTTTATTCAAAATATCGATTTTTTTAAGCCACTCTTGGTCTTGGTCTTGCAACAGTTAGGAGGTCGTGGTTTTGGTCTTGCAAAGTGCAAGACCAAGACCGATTTTTATCAACACTACATATTCCTCTTTAAAGTTTTAGAATCCGAAATCGCTCAAAACCTTCTATCAGCTAAAAAGTTTTTTTGTATTAGTCCAGAAAGGTTTTTTTTTTTTTTTTACTCCTTTCGTTCCTAAATAATAAGGATTCGTTTTCTCCACAAAGTATCATTTACTTTTGCTGAATCTAAAAGTAGTGCTATCATGTTTTCTTTATTACAAATATTATCTATATTTTAATTCGTGAAATTCAAATCTTCAGGTTTTATCGCAGAAGAAGTAATTCTCATATGATGCTCGAAATAGAAAACGTTTCAAGGGTGTCTTGAAATATAGTTTACAATTTACCAATATTCTTAAAAAGCAACGGTTTCCTTCCTAAATAAGTATTTAATATATTGTTGATTTTGTAATTATATATATATATATATATATATTATATATATATATATATAATATATATATATATATATTTAGAAATTATTTAATTGTTTACTAAATTATTTTCTAAACTAACTAAATGAGTTGATTTAGAAAATTATTATTACTATTGTTTAGGATTAGAAAATCAATGAATTTTAATTTTGCTTACCTCACTATACTATGAGCCCTCTGTAGTATCAAATCGAGCGGACCTTCAGATAAATAGAAGAGAAGAAATAATACTGACAAGGCTCCGAATCGGCCACTCACGGCTAACCGATGAGCACCTAATGACAAAGGGGACGCCCCCTCAGTGTCTCTGCTGCGAGGTCGCTTTAACAGTCAGGCACATTTTAGCCGAGTGTAATGCATATGAAACACAACGGAATGAAGTTAAATTGGAGAATGACATAACCGAAATTTTGAAAGAACCCAGAAAATTGGCAAAAAAAAGTGTTTAAATTTCTGCAAATAACGTACCTATACAACAAAATTTAAATTTTGCTGACTCTTTTGTTTTAAATATGTTGTGTTTTCAATTCATTGTTAAATTTAATTTAATTTGATGTAACATAAATATTTTGTAAGCGCTAAAATGACCCGTAAGAGGTTGAGGAGTCCCTTCCATTGTTATATAAAATTAAAAAAAAATAAATTTTGCTTTCCAACTTTTTATTTAATATTTAATAGTTTTAATATATCGACTCCTACGATTCATTTATATACATCTGTTTTTTTTGATAATGATGTTATGTTTATGTTTAGTGGACATAAGGTAATTATTTTAACTAAGGAAGTTGTAAATGAAAAGCTTTAGTATAAATTGTTTATTTCAACAGGTTTATAAATATATATATACATGTAGTGTTTATTGGTAGTAGTGAGGTCCATATCTGAGTGTATGTCCGTGTCCAATTGCGCCCCATGGAGTATTGTGGCGTGCTATAGCACTTGCAACAAGTCTGTTTACGTATCCTGGAGAGCCAGGGCCACCAGCTGCGGAACCACCGTAGGATGGACGTGGGGCTGCTACTGGTGGAGCGGCCAGTCCGTGAGCTGCTACTGCTGGAGCGGCGAAACCATTACCGGACCATCCAAGAAATCTGTTTTGGTATCCAGGAGTGACAGGGCCTCCCGCTGCGGAACCAGCGAGGGATGGAGGTGCGAGTCTGGGGGCGGCAACTGCTGGAGCGACCAATCCATGAGCTGCTGCTGCTGGTGCGGCGAAACCATTACCGGCCCATCCAAGAAATCTGCTATCGTATCCAGGGGAGCTAGGACGAGCCCCGGAGTATACAGGTCCTTCTTCCTTCGGGAGGTCGAAGACTGAGCCGGCATTACCTGGGGCGAACTGAGGATCCACGTAGTGAGAGAGGCGTGCATTAGCCGTGGAGCCAACGATCCTATCGGGACCTAATGCGCTAGCGGGGATGGAACCATGGACGGCGTCGAGGTCCAGTGAACCATGAGCTCCATAAACCCTTTCGTTTGGGTATGCCAGGGCTACTCCAACGAGCAACAGGCAGGCCTGAAAAGTCATTAATATTTAAAACTATCATCAACTATTAACATATCATTGATTAGTTAGTGTTATAGTAGTGAGTTTATTTTACATGTATTTAATCGTAAACTATGTTAACGAATTTAGAAATTTAAAATTGAGATGTTCTTTCCGCATTATTTGTTTGTTATTAATACTATATATATATATATATATATAATATATATATATATATATATATAATATATATATATATATATATATATATATATATATATATTCATATTCATTATATATATATATATATTCATATTCATTTAATTTTACTTACTAGGGCGGTCTTCATGTTTAGAATTGTCGATCTCTTACCTCGGGTAACTATGCCACTTCTTCCAGAGCTAACAGTATATATAGTGCACGAGAGCCTTGTGCAGCAGGAAGGTCGTTGTACTTTCTGCTACTGGTTTCTGGTTTTTATCCGTTCTTGCTTGTATTGGGTTTATTGTTATATTAACAGTAATTTTAAATACAACATCTATAAATCTTTTCTCTTTGACATTGATAATATATGAGCATGTAGATTATTGTAGTGCTCCTTTGTTTTTTTGTTTTCACTATCGCCTCTTACAGATTTATACTTAGTATATGCTGGTTTTAAATTTTTTCAATGTTAAGTTTCTTCTAGAGTGTATTACATGACTCAATTAAAAAATATTTTCGTCAAAAGAATCTAAATTTTTTTAAAGTAAGTTAGGTAACTTTCTTAAACATGTAAACGAGCATATTTTAGGTAAGCGAGTGCAATGAAGTTATTCAATCGAATTATTATTAATAATAAGCATTGTTGCATTTATTGAGAAGGCAGTGGATCAGCTGATGGGAGGGTTGTGCTACCAACTGATCTCTCAGTATTTGCCTATTTTTCAGCTGAATCTCTCTGATTTGTCATTGAATACATTTCACATGTAAATCGGAGCAGTTAATATTTACTGTTTATATATATATATATATATATATATATATATATATATATATATATATATATATATATATATATATATATATTTTTTTTTTATCATTTTTCTTTATTTCTTTCTTATCTTATGGTATGCGGTATAGTCACCAAGTGATGTCCAGTAAGGTACCCAAGAGGACTTGGTCAGACGGACTTATTACATCTCGTGGTTCACCAGCCAAACAAAGAACTCGTCGCTGCCTACGAGAAACATCTCCAACAACAAAAGTGAACACTTCAGAACCAGAACATCAACCACAACCAGGAACTTCTTCGCAAGAAATGATCGAAGCATCCCCTTTCTTTACTCCAAACCCCTACCAAGTCTAATGGATTCTGCAGCTACCCTCACAGAACCGAGGCCTCTCCCGATATTTGTGAAAAATATCAAAAATTTCCAGTTGTTCGGCACCCAACTAAATAAAATCTGCTCTGGAAGTTATTCAGCCTTAACAAGACCAATGATACAAAAATAACACCAGATACTGCTGAAACCTACCGAATAATAGTGGAGTACCTCTCAGAAACGAATGCGAATTTTCATGCATACCAGCTTAGGCAGAAGAGATCGTTACGAGTAGTAGTAAGAAATTTACACTCCTCAACCCCAACTGAATTGATAAAAGAAGAACCAGCGGCGCTTGGTTTCAAAGTAAGTCAGGTAATCAACGTTCTGAAGAAGAATAAGGAACAGCCTGGTGTAAAAAATTCCACAACCTTCATTTTCGTGGATCTAGAGCCATCATCCGGTATAGAGAAAATATACGATATCACAAGATTATATTACACAATGGTGAAAGTAGAAAAACCATACCCCAAGGAAGAAATCGTGCAGTGCCATAATTGTCAGGCGTATGGCCACACGAAGACTTATTGTCACCATTTGCCGCGTTGCGTACAATGCGGTGAACAACACAAATCTGTGGAGTGCACCAAACAGATACAAGTTCCTGCAGTGTGTACAATATGCATGGAGGGGCACCCGTCCAACTACAAAGGATGCCAAATTTATAAGAACCTCAAATCCAGACACTATGGAAAACGAGATCTGTGGTTTTCCAGTTTGAGCACTTATTTTAAACTCCTGCTCGAATACAAAGCTTCCCTTTCCTACCTTAGGTGTTGAGGAAACAAATCTAAAGAAAAGAATCATATGTTAAATAAAGAATATTGAAAAAATATGGGTTGATGGTGAATGTCGTTAATAATGAAGAGAAGGATGGTTGGGGTGATCAGTCGGAAATAAAAATGTAAAAATAAATAGTAAAATTTATTTTAACACTTGCCGACGTTTGATTATGCAAAAATATGCAAGTTGATTCTATAAAGCCTTGTCTCTGTTTATTTTTAAAACACGCTAAACACAGCATTATGTAACAAAACTCAATTCTAAAAGGATTATATAACCATTATCTGTATCAAACTAAATTATAAAATTTATAATATCGAGGAAAAAAGATTTATTTCACCCTTATATAATTATTCCATGCTGTAATTCATTTAAATTTCCCGACGACGCTTCGGACAATTTTGACTACTTTTAAGTTGAACGTATGTAAAAATAGTATGTAAAAAATATAACAGCACATAAAACAACAATAAATTCAAGGCTGAAAATCCTAGCTGTAAATTGTGTCATCAAGGAACAATTGATGCAGACAATCTAGACACATGTCCTGCCTTGAGGGACATATTTATTAAAATATTTTTGAATATATATATTAGAAAACCTAAATTATACTGGGCAGCAAGATGTCGGATGGCCGAATGACCAACGACTGGCATAAGAGTAAAAAAAAAAAACGAAAACAATAAATTCATTTCAAATTTACTGAAATACTACACATTTTCGTCCCTTTAAATACAACAGCCTAATGTCCACTGTGAGCTGTGGGCTTACCTATTATTTTACTGATTGGGATTAAGAGTACAACATTATTGAAATGATTTCAAGTTTTGTATTATTAATATTAATTTAGCTAAAATAATAATTTCAAATTCTTCGTTTGAAATTCTAATTAATTAATCATATCTACATAATATTGCCTAATCATTTTAATATCCGTTTTTAAATTAACAAAAAATTTAATATTTTTCGTTATATAGATAGATTCCAAAAACATCCTTATTTTATTATCTTCAGCCAAACTTAAAATTTATTTTTTATCATAATAAAAAATATGATTATTCATGATGATATGCCTTGGTAAAACTGTGAAATCGATATTTTGGGGGGTTTTAGTATTCATTTTATGCTGATTTATTCAATTTTGCAAATTTTGAGATTTTCCCCCCATATAAAATTGTTTACAATTAGTTTGATAACTTACATTTTATTTATTCTCGCTTTTAATCTTACCCTTCATATTTGTTTAACTTATTATTATCAAAACAAAATTTTATATTATAATGGTCATATTTTTTGAATGCATATTTGATTTTATTAGTTATTCCTGGTATATATCTTAATACTTCAAATTACAAAATTATTTACGAAAAGTCTATTCTAAAACAACTGAAAAGAAACATACAAAATACCATAAACAAGAAAACACCAAAAAAGATTTTTTTTTATTAACACTTTAAAATTCTATTCTATAAATTACCTGTGGACAGTCAAAAATTAAATTTCATTTTAAATTTACTCAAATACTACACATTTTCGTCCCTGTAAATAAAACAACCTAATGGCCACTGTGAGATGTGGGCTTATCTATTATTTTGCTCATTTTGGATTGAGAGTGCAACATTATTGAAATTATTTCAAGTTTCATATTATTAATAATAATTTAGCTAAAATAATTATTAAAATGCTTCATTTAAAATTCTAATTTTTTAATCATACATTTTCCGACTACATTTCGAGTAATTTCGCCCATTTTCAAGTCAAGTATTTATTTATAATATAATAGCACAATAAATATAAATATATATGTAAAAACAGCACATAAAATAACAATAAACGAAAAGTCCAATATATTAAATCAATGAATGATTACATCATTATTCTATAATCCATATTATTATACTTTTTTATATAACTATTGTAACATTTATGTCCTCAAATACTTCAAATTATAAAATTATTTACGAAGGGTCTATTCTAAAACGACTTAAATGAAAAATACAAAATATCATAAACAAGAAAACGCCAAAAAAGATTTTTTTTTTTTAACATTTTAAAATTCTGTTCTATAAATTACCTGTGGACAGTCAAAAAATTAATTTTCTCAAATACTACACATTTACGTCCCTATAACTACAACAGCCTAATGCCTACTGTGAGATGTGGGCTTACCTATTATTTGGCTCATTGGGATTAAGAGTACAACATTTTTGAAATGATTTCAAGTTTCATATTATTAATAATAATTTAGCTAAAATAATTATTAAAATACTTTTTTTTTTTAATTCTAACTTATTAATCATGTCTACAGAATATAGCCCAATCATCATAATATCCGTTTTTAAATTAACAATATTTTTAATATTTTTAGTTATATAGATAGATTCTAAAAACACCTTTGTTTTATTATCTTCAGCCAAATTTAGAATTTATTCTATATCATAATCAAAAATATGATTATTCATGATGATATGCCTTGCTAAAGCTGTAAAATTGATACTTTTCGGGTTTTTATTATTTATTTTAGGCTGATTTGTTCAATTTTGCAAATTTTGTGATTTTCCCCCAATATAAAATTATTTGCGCATCATTTGAAATTAATTTGATAAATTACGTTTTGTTTATTCTCACTTTTAATCTTATATTTTATTTTTAAAAAAATAATAATAAAAATAGGTGTTGAGGAATCAAAACTCAAGAAAAGAATATGCAAGTTGCTTCTATAAAATAATGCTTCCGTTTATTTTCAAAACACAGCATTATGTAACAAAACTCAATTCTAAAAGGATTATATAACCATGACGCATATAAAACTAAATATTTCTGTATTATTTTCTTTTCTCTTTTTTTTTTTTTTTTTTTTTTTTTTGGAATTCTAATTAGACTTGGTTAGAACCAAACATAGCAAAGCAAGAAACCAGCAGAACAGAAATGCAACATTCTTCCTCCTGCCCAAGGCTCAAGCCCACTCACTATATATACAGTTAGCTCTAGACGAAGTGGCATAGTTAGCCGAGGTAAGAGTTCAACAACTCTAAACATGAAGACCGTCTTAGTAAGTAAAATAAAAGGATATATTATATTAACAACAAACATTGTATAATAAGGTCGGAACATCTGAATTTAAAATTTCTAAATTCATTTCCATTATTTATAATGTTATAAATGCATATAACATATAACCATATAATACCTACTAATTAATTATTAATAATTTTTCGCAAAAGATTTGTATGTTTCTGGCTGGCATCGCAGTCGCCCAACATGATCATGGCTGGGCAGGATGGGCCGGTAATGGTTTCGCCGCTCCAGCAGTAGCAGCGCATGGATTGGTCGCTCCAGCAGTTGCCGCCCCACGTCCATCCTACGCTGGTCCTGCAGCTGGTGGCCCTGGCTCTCCAGGATACCAAAACAGACTTCTTGCAAGTGCCATAGCACGCCACAATACTCCATGGGGTGCAATTGGACACGGACATACACTCAGATATGGACCTCACTACTACCAATAAACATTACATGTATATAAATGCATAAGACTTTTAAATAAATAATTTATACTAAAGTTTTTCATTTTCAAATATAACTTCCTTAGTAAAAATGATTAAGTTATTTCCACTATGTAAACAGAACATCATTATCAAAAGAAACAGATGTATATAAATTAATCGTAGGAGTCGATAAATTAAAACTATGAAACATTAAAAAAAAAAATGCCGAGTAAAATTAAAATTCATTGATTTTCTAATTCTAAAATATTGTAATAATTACAAAATTTATAAATATATACTTACAAAATAAACTGTATATTTAAATATTTAATCAGAAAGAAAACGACTGCTTTGTAAGAATATTTTTTAATTGTAAACTATATTTCAAGACATCCTTCAAATGTTTACTATTTCGAATGGCGGCATCACATGTGAATTGTTTCAGACGAAATAAAACCTGAAGATTTGAATATCATTAATTTTTGATTATTTATTTATTTAATGAAATTTGCAACTGTATAAACAATACAACTAGTAAAAATGCACACATTAGAAATCATGACATGAATAGATTTGAAGAGATGGTTCCAGTGGTAGCACTCCTTATTTCATTCTAGGAGAGAAGATCACGAGGCCATCTTCTTTTCAGACACCTAGGGGGATTATCAGGAATCGAGGAAGAAGAAGAAGAAGAATAAACTTTATTCTGGGACTACGTCCCTTGAGAATAACAATATTGTACATAAAATTAACATTACATCTGGCCAGAATGTATATTACAATAAACAAAAACAAACAAAAAAAATAACTAAAAAATAAGGGATAAAAGAAGTATTTACATAACTGTACAGATATAGTAAGACTTAATATGAGCAATAAGGTCCTAATACTGCAAAATAGTTGCTATACACAATAAGCAATTACCAAACCCTTTCCGATAAAATTGACCTCAAAATAACCCTGAAAACTCCAGATGACCTTGAAAATTCCGTACACAATTTTACCTCCACTATCCAACAAGCAATCTGGACTGCTTCCTCTCCAAACCACTCCTCAAGAACGCCCAAGAAAAATAACTTACATCAACACCTCATAGACCTAATCCACACCCAACGCCGTGCCAGATTATTATGGCAACGTACTAGACACCCTACCGATCTTCGATCCTATAATTATTTTTGCAAACAATTAAAGCTAGAATTGGCCACCCTCAGATCCCAATCCTTCAACTCCTACCTTACTTCCTTCTCTTCTCATGGCAATTCCCTATAGAAGATCACTAAACAAATCCTAAAACCCCATCAAATATCACATCCTTTCCGTCAAAGTGATGGCTCTTGGGCAGCGTCTGACGAAGATAGAGCCGAGGAATTCGCCAAACCCCTTTTCCTTACATTCACTTCTCATCCGGAATCCAACCCCATCCACACATCAGCAGTAGAGGAGCTCCTTAGTTCTCCCATCCCACTCTCCTTACTGTCTAAAGTAGTTAATACTTCTGAGGTCAAATACCACTTACAAAACTACCTACCCGAAAACCACCTGGATAAGACCTCCTTACCTCTCAGATCCTTAGAGAGCTCCCTCCTAAAGCTGTCATATTCCTTAAATACATATACAATAGCACCCTACGAACCACCCACTTTCCTCTTTTATGGAAACGTTCTACTATTATCCTATTCCCAAAATCAAGCAAACCTCCCTACAGCTTAACTTCCAACAGACCCATTAGCCTACTTCCAATCCTTACAAAAATCCCTGAAAAGATCCTCCTGAAATGTCTGGTATAAAAAAAAATAATCCAATTCCGTTCTGTACTTTCTTTTTTTTATGTGAAAATCTTTGGCATGCACTGATCTCAAAACCGCTCATTTTATGGGACCCAAATTTAGAGGGACGTTATCGGTAAACATATAATCAAGTAGTTAACAATATCATCATATTCCTTTTACCACTTAAAAAAAAAACTGGTTTCGGATCTGCAAAAGCTTTACTTCGAAAACGGCTCTATTGGTACAAAGTTGGAGAAAATTTGTTGATTAGTGTACAATTTGTTAAGTACCAATCCTATCGAGTTCTAGTTACAATTAAACCCAATGATTATTTAAAATATATAATGGATTTGAAACATTTTAGACTATGGACGTTTAGAAAAGAAGTTTAAATTTATACTAAAGTTAAAAGTTGCCTCGCTTGGTCTTGTAAGGTTGTGTACAATGAGATGATTATAATGAGAGTGACATTAATTTGGATAAGAACTAGTTGATATTAAAAACAACTCAATAATACACTGATACCGAGTTTTATTAAAATTGTTATAGCCGTTTTTGTGAATATCGTAACAATGTGTTGAATCGATTATATAAAGTACCATTTCTGGTTTGCCGGTTTTGACAAAAATGGCGCTATAACATCTTAGTCATATACGTAATATATGTTTCGAACCTCTTTAGGAATTATATTGTTCACACACACATAGACCATTTTGCGAACTTGGTTATTTTGGATTCAGGGGACCACAAAAAGTGTATTCCTGTTTAAAACTCAGATTCGAAGATTTTCACTATCGCAAATGCTTTGCCATAATATATATTACATATATATGTAAGTGAAAGTTAAAAGAATGAATCAATATTGCCCATGTTATTGTTAATCAGAGGTGTATTTTTGGTTGATTGGTCATCAGTGCACAATCAAAAAAATAATACTACTTAAACTAGTTAACTGGTAGTATTAAAAAAATGCAAACACAATGAATAATTTAACACATTAAAAAAATACAAAAAAATATAAATGATGACATCAAATAACTAAATGAAAGAAAACCAAATGAAATAAGCATTGGCAAAGAATCATTGCGTGTAGACTTTTTAAATATATTTTATAAGATTTTCAATTTGTAGGAAATTGATAACTTCACTCAATTTTTCCTGCTGGTTTCTCAGGGATGCTGATATACTCAGGGTATTCTAAATTCTTTTAACCTTGTGTAAAATATAAATTTTTCTAAAACATGTTTTGTGATTAATATCTCACCACATTTTTTACACCTGAGGATAAGATTTTTTGTTATAAGGTGTATTTTTGGTAGTCTCTTTTTACAAACATTATTTTGTATTGCTCCGATTATACAACTATGGAAATTATTAAGTCTCTTACGTTATATTTTTTTATATATAATTCTACAATATTACGAGGATAGTAGCAAAGAAACGAATGACGTTTGATCAGATTAACGTTACAAAAAAAAATAAACAATATAATAAAAAAATATTTATGTATCGTTCCCGGAAGCTTAAATAAATATATATTAAAGAAGGAATTTGAAGTTTAAGAAGTGAAACATATTTTTACATAGGAAGGAGATGGTCCGGAGCTGCGGTCATAAAAAGGCTAAATAGTTTTACCACTATTTAGCCTTTTTATGACCGCAACCCCGGACCATCTCCTTCCTTTATAATGCAACAGTTAACTATTAAATATTCAATATTTTTACATAAATAGAAATGGATATAATTTTTATTTTTCAGAGTTAAATATGATATAACAGTTACTATCAATAATTTATCATGGGTGTTCATGTCAGACAAAAAAAGCTCCACTAAGTCCAGCAACTACAAGCCCCGCACCTAAGGCGGCCTCGGCGATTTATTAAATGCATCATCAGCAAAAACTAGAAATTTGAAAATTTTCTGGATCAGTTTGGTTACTTCATAGACAGCAACAAGTAACAGAGTTGCACTAAAAAGAGAGACTTCGGCCCTTCCGTTTTCTGAAATATAACTTGTTGGAGTTTCAAAATCCGGAATCAAACAAAACCTTCTTTCAGTAAAAAAGTTTTTCTCATTTCTCTCGCTTCTAAACTAATAAAGATTCGTTTTCTCCACAAAGTATCATTTGCTTTTCCTAAATCTAAAAATATTGCTATCAGGTGTACCTTTTTTTTTTACAAATAGTGTTTATATTTTAATTATTGGAATTGGGACTCCACTGAACCATCGAATTCTTATCGTATTCAATCCTTTCTATCCAAAATCCTTCGTAAAATCCTTAATGCCCCATATTTTGTCGCAAATTAAACCATTCATAAAGACCTTAATGTCCCATATGCCGCTGATTTAGCCCTGGCCAGATACCCATCCTTTCATGATAAACTCCAGTCACATCCGAATCCACTTGTTTCCAGCCTTGCTTCTTTGGATTTAGATCATATAGAACTTGTATAATGTTTACAATACTGTTATTGTATTCTTCGAACATACTATTATTACTATAACATCTTTATTATTATTATTATTTTTTTTAACATTAATACAATGACATGACAACAAAAGTTATTTGTCGCTCATTTATAATTCCATAGCTTATTTGTGTATAGCAACTATTTTGCAGTATTAGGACCTTATTGCTCATATTAAGTCTTACTATATCCATACAGTTATGTAAATACTTCTTTTATCCCTTATTTTTTAGTTGTTTTTTTTTGTTTGTTTTTGTTTATTGTAATATACATTTTGGCCAGATGTAATGTTAATTTTATGTGCAATATTGTTATCTCAAGGGGCGTAGTACCAGAATAAAGTTGATTCTTCTTCTTCTTCTTCCTCGATTCCTGATAATCCCCCTAGGTGTCTGAAAAGAAGATGGCCTCGTGATCTTCTCACCTGGAATGAAATAAGGAGTGCTACTACTGGAACCATCTCTTCAAATCTATTCATGTCATGATTTCTAATGTGTGCATTTTTACTAGTTGTATTGTTTATACAGTTGCAAATTTCATTAAATAAATAAATAATAAAAAATTAATGATATTCAAATCTTCATGTTTTATTTCATCTGAAACAATTCTCTTGTGATACCACCATTCAAAACAGTAAACGTTTCAAGGATGTCTTGAAATATAGTTAACAATTTACCAATATTCTTACAAAGTAGTCGTTTCCTTTCTATATAAATACTTAAATATATAGTTTATTTTGTATGTATATATTTAGAAATTATGTAATTGTTTACTAAACTGTTCTAAACTAACTAAATGGGTCGATTTAGAAAATAATTATTACAATTTTTTAGGATTAGAAAATCAATGAATTTAATTTTACTCTGCAACTTTTTTTTAAAAATGTTTAATAATTTTAATATGTCGATTCCTACGATTAATTTATGTACATATGTTTATTTTGATAATGTTGTTCTGTTGTATATAGTTGAAATAACGTAATTATTTTTACTAATGAAGTTGAATTTGTAAATAAAAAACTTTATTATAAATTTTTTATTTCAACAGATTTATAAATATATATACATGTAGCGTTTATTGGTAGTAGTGAGGTCCATATCTGAGTGTATGTCCGTGTCCAATTGCGCCCCATGGAGTATTGTGGCGTGCTATGGCACTTGCAAGGAGTCTGTTTTGGTATCCTGGAGAGCCAAGGCCACCCGCTGCGGGACCAGCGTGGGATGGAGGTGCGAGTCTGGGGGCGGTAACTGCTGGAGCGACCAATCCATGAGGTGCTACTGCTGGAACGGCGAAACCATTACCGGACCATCCAAGAAATCTGCTATCATATACAAAGGAGCCAGGGCCAGCAGCTACGGAAACATCCAGTGCTGGGTAGGCCAGGGCTACTCCAACGAGCAACAGGCAGGCCTGAAAAGTCATTAATATATAAAACTATCACCAACTAATAACACATTATGATTTACTGAGTGTTTTTATGTTTCATTTATTTAATCGTAAACAATGTTAACGAATTTAGATATTTTAAGAGAAGGAGTTGATAGGAGAGTGTGGTCAAATAAATACTAAATTATTCAAATAGTATTATTATTTTTGTTTTCAAAGCCAAAAAAAAAAATACTATTTGTATAATTTAGTATTTATTGGAACGCACTCCTCGATCAAATAGTATCATGTTTATTTTTTTTATTATTTTATTATAATTTTTTTTTTTTGTCTGAGAAGGAGTTGATCGGGAGAGGGGGGGGGTGCGGTTAAATAAATACTAAATTATACAAATAGTTTTATTTTTTTTTTCAAAGCCAAAAAAAATAGTATTTGTATAATTTAGTATTTATTGGAACGCACTCCTTGATCAAATAGTATCATTTTTATTTACTTTTATTATTATTATTTTTTTTTGCCTGAGAAGTAGTTGATCGGGGGGTGCGGTCAAATAAATAATTAATTATACAAAGAGTGTTTTTTTTTTGCCTGAGAAGTTGATCGGTGGGGGTGGGGGGGTACGGTCAAATAAATATTAAATTATGCAAATAGTATTATTTTATGTTTTTTTGTCTCGAAAAAAAAATAATACTATTTGTATAATTTAGTATTTATTTGAACGCACCCCCCTCCCTCTGATCAACTTCTCATTCAAAAAAAATAATACTATTTGTATAATTAATTATTTATTTGACCGTACCCCCCCCTCGATCAACTCCTTCTCAGGCAAAAAAAATATTACTATTTGTATAATTAATTATTTATTTGACCGCACCCTCCCTCCCCCCTCGATGAACTTCTCAGACAAAAAAAAAAAGTACTATTTGTATAATTTAGTATTTATTTGATTGCACCCCCCGATCAACTTCTTCTCAGGCAAATAAGTAATACTATTTGTATAATTTAGTAATTATTTAACCACACACCCCGATCAACTTTTTCTAGGGCATAAAAAAAGTATATATTATTTGTATAATTTAGTATTTATCACGGTCAACCATCTCTACCTCATTAGATACTTTAAATTGAGATATTCAGTCCGCATCATTTGTTTGTTATTTATACTATATATATATATTTATATATATATATATATATATATATATAATATATATATATATATATATATATATATATATATATATGTATATATATGTATATATATATATATGTATATATATGTATATATATATATTAATTTAATTTTACTTACTAAAGTGGTCTTCATGTTTGGAGTTGTTGATCTCTTACCTCGGCTCAGTATGCCACTTCGTCTTGAGCTGACAGTATATATACTGGGCTTGGGCCTTGGGTAGGACGAAGAATGTTGCATTTCTGTTCTGCTGATTTCTGGCTTTCCTTTATTTGGTTGTAACCAAGGCTAATTAAAATTACAAAAAAAAAAAAAAGAGAAAAGAAAATGATAAAGAAATATTTAGTTTTTTATGGCTTATGGTTATATAATCCTTTTAGAATTGAGTTTTGTTACATAATGCTGTGTTTTGCGTGTTTTGAAAACAAACGGAAGCAATGTTTTATGAAATCAACTTGCATATTATTTATTTAACATATGATTCTTTTCATTAGTTTTGCTTCCTCAACACCGTTTTTTTTATTTTTTTTTTTATGTTAATTAGAATATAAGATTAAAAGCGAGAATAAACAAAATGTAATCTATAAAATTAATTGTAAACAATACACAAATAAATTTGATATTGGTGGAACATCTCAAAATTTGCAAAATAAAATACATCAGCATAAAATAAATACTAAAAACCCGAAAAATATCAATGTCACAGCTTTAGTAAGGCATCATGAATAATCATATTTTTGATTATGATAAAGAATAAATTCTAAATTTGGTTGAAGATAATAAAATAAGGATGTTCTTAGAATCTATCTATATAACTAAAGATATTGTTAATATAAAAACGGATATTACGATGATTTGGCAATAATATGAAACTTGAAATCACTTCAATAATGTTGGACTCTTAATCCCAATGAACAAAATAATAGGTAAGCCCTCTTCTCAGAGTTGGCATTAGGCTGTTGTAGTTAGGGACGTCAATGTGTAGTATTTGAGTAAATTTAATTTTTGACTCACCACAGGTAAAATTAAAAAAAAAATAAAATCTTTTTTAGCGTTTTCTTGTTTATGATATTTTGTATTTTTCTTTTAAGTCGTTTTAGAATAGACTTTTCGTAAATAATTTTATAATTTGACGCATTTGAGGTCATAAATGTTACAATAATTATATAAAAAAGTATAATTATATGGATTATAGAATAATGATGTAATGATTCATTGATCTGATATATTGGAATTTTCGTTTATTGTTATTTTATGTGATTTTTTTACTTATATATTTATATTTATTGTGTTATTACATTATAAATAAATACTTGACTTGAAAATGGGCGAAGTTATACGAAACGTCGTCGGAAAATTTAAATGAATTAAAGCATGGAATAATGGTATAAGGGTGAAATAAAACTTTTTTCCTGGATATTATAAATTGAGTTACATAGTTTTATATAAGTCACGGTTACATAATCCTATTAGAATTATGTTTTGTTACATAATGCTGTGTTTTGCGTGTTTTGAAAATAAACGGAATCAATGTTTTATAGAATCAACATGCATATTCTTTATATAACATATGATTCTTTTCTTTAGTTTTGTTTCCTCAACACCATTTTTTTTTTAAATTAATATATATGCCAGGAATAACTAATAAAATTAAACAAGTATTAAAAAAATATGGCAATTATAATACAACATTTTGTTTAAATAATAATAAGTTAAACAAATATGAAGTATAAGATTAAATGAAATGTAATTTATCAAATTAATTGTAAATAATTTCACATTGGGGGAAAATCTATAAATTTGCAAAATCGAATAAATATGCATAAAACAAATACTAAAACCCCGAATAGTATCAATTTCAAAGCTTTAGCAAGGTATAGCACCATGAATAATCATATCTTTGATTATGATAAACAATAAATTTTAAATTTTGCTGAAGATAATAAAATAAGGATGTTTTTGGAATCTATCTATATAACTAAAAATGTTTAAAATTTTGTTAAATTAAAAACCGATATTAAGATGATTGGACAATATTATGTAGATTAAATGTAAACATTAACAGTCATATTAAATGTTGTTCAAAGTGAAGTTACGTCCTCAAACACTTTGTTTAGAAGATGGGTTAGATAGAATACTAATATGGCATTTTATCCCTAACTGTATAAATACTATTGGCAACATAAGAATTAATTCTATTTGGAATTAGCATTGGGAACTCTCAATAACATTTATCAGTTTGCAAGAGGCTTTCGCCAGGCTGCAAGAGTACTCATCATTGTGCCTTCCATCTTCCTCTTGGAATTTCTTAATAATTTCTTAATATGCAAGTCCGGTCAATGAACTTCATTCCTTACGATGAAGGATGATTGAATCTTGTGAAACAATAACACATAGTGCCGTTCTGCCACTGCTGTTGTTAAAGAAAGATGCTGAGCCTCTTCTTCGTCTTAATGCTCAAGGAAATCACTTTGAACAACATTTAATGTTTACGTTTAATTAATAAAGTAGTTGGAACAAATAAACAAATTTTATTTACTGAATATAACGTACATAGCAATGCAAATCTTTATTTGTGAATATCACCTAAGCAAAGCGTTTGTGGATATACCTTCTAAGGGATTCTTTTACTTATGTTGAGGTCCTTAATTCATATTTATAGTTTGGCCACATGGCCCTGAAACACCCTGTATAATCTTTATTATTTTTAATTTTATCGAGTTTTATTGAATACTCAATGGTTAACCGACATACAGTATATGAATAGTGAAACGATATTTTATTTTAGCCAACGTTTCGACCTAAATATGTAGATCTTCATTAGGGCTAGAACTAACAAGATTCAAAGGATATATAAAATTGTTTGAGTTAACTGATATTTAGATAAAAATTATAAATAGTGTAAATAGAAAGTATATATAAGTTTTAAGAACGTGAAATATATAAACAGAGTAATTTAAGTATTAAGAGTATTAAAGTATAAAACTAAACAACCAGAACTAAAGTAGATAAAATTTGTAACAATAATTGTAGATAAGAAAAATTTAATGTAATAAAGAGGAAGGATAATATACATAATCAAGAATACACCTGTCAAATCTTAAAGAATTATTAAAAGGTATGAATAACAGGTATGAATTAACAAAAGTATGGAAAGGAGAAAAAATAAAATAAATAAATAAATAATGGACATTAAAGGGGTATGAAGAAAATTCATAATGATATAAACTTACTTCTACTCTGACTGGAATTCAGGGTGAAACTGTCAAGCCATTAGAATAATCATTGAAGTAATTAGCTGACATTGACGATGGGTGGAGGGGGCAAGGGTAGTAAATGAATGAAAAAAAAGATACGAAAAAAAAAAGCAAAGAAAAATGGCATTATATAAATACATATTAATGAATAAAATAAAACACTGCAATATCTAGGAACTAATTAATTAGAAATATATGGATTGTCAAAAATTGTTATTTGCAAATATCCAAAAGCTAATAACATGAAAAGATTTAGATGTGAAATAAGTTAAAGCAGGGAAACATAGAATACATAAGATTTTCTATGTTTTATTTTAATTAGAAATTTCGAATATGGCTAATTAGGCCGGAACGTGAAATTATAAATATTTTTTTTCTTAATTAAAAGCAAAAAGGAGTTTTATAAGTAAAATTTGTTGGTTGGAGTATTAGTGGGATTTAGAAACATGAATCTGTCATTGATTAAATGTGACGAGATGAAATAATGATCACACTTAAATCAACAATCGGATAAAAAATTGTTTATCAAATAACTTATTCCTTTATTAATTTTTAATTCTATCATTCTTTTTATTTACACCTTAAAGTTTATTAATATTGTTATTAAGTTCAATATTAATATTTTTATTTATGTTTAACTGTTTTTAATGTTTTCAGTTTTACTTGATATAATATATATTTTTTTTATTTGTAATATTTATTCACATTTCCTTGTCAAATACGTCTACTGCTTTATAATTTATTAATTAGTTTCCGAGGATTAAGTTTGTTATTTAATATTTCAAATTCCTTGGCTTTAATTTTTTTAATTTGTTTTATATGTTAATTATATAATTAATTAATAGTTAATTATAATGTTTTTATTTTTTATTGAATAAGTATTGATATTATGAACCGACGCAGAGTGGTCGGAAAAGGCATAAAACGTCAAAATCCCAGGAAACTTACAATTTAAGCAAGATATCTGAAAAACTGAATTTATTATAGCATGTCAGACATTCCGAATTAATATACAATACACCTTTTTTGGTAAGACCAACCGTTATTATTATTGTTAATATTTTTTCAATAATAAATAAAATATATTTTGCATGTAATATATTGTTAAAGTAAAAATTTATTGTATAAGGTTATTGACAGAATCAATTATAAATATATATTACCTACATTACTATCAAGAGGACATAGTGGTAAGAGAAGAAGAGAAAATCAACCTACAACTAAATTAAAATAAAGCCAAATATATGGTAGTGAGTCAATTATCAGAACGAAATTGGTTGAATTTCTCTTCAATATATTCTTTCGCCTTTATTTTCAGTTTTTTTTTTTTTTTGTTTTTTTTTGTTTCTATACTTTTCCATCTATTTTCTATAGTTTTCAGGTTTCGTTGAGTGATAACATATCCTCTGAAACTACGATTTTTAAAAATATAATTAGAGATAACTTATTTGACTCATTTCCAAAAATTACACAACAAATCATTATTTTCATAATTAAGTAAAAATGCCAAAAATATGTTTAATGATTTATAACAAATTGCATGATTAATGTGGTAGAAACAGGCTTTTTACTTATATTTTATTTTTGGAACTGTTGTTTTTATTCGTGCCTTTACCTTAGGAATATATGAGTTAACTATGTCAGACATTAAAAACATAGAAATTTTAATTAAAATAACACCTTGAAAATAGGGGTATTTGCCGCTTTTAGACCACTGTGCGTCGTTTTGATAAATGGATTAGGAAACAAATTGGTTTGAAATGCTCACGATTGTCGTACGACGATCGTGTCAGGCGGGTTTGCCAATCCAATGTAATCACGCCCCTTCTTTCTAGCTGTTTTTTTAATATATTTCATTAAAATAATTTTAATATCAATTTCAGAAAATGAAATTAATGACTAGTTATTATTTTTTTTTTTTTTTATAGAATGGTTCCGATAATTCCATTATTGATTGACAACAGCTGAAAAAAAATTAGTGAA